TCAAGTCAAGTCAAGTCAAGTCAAGTCAAGTCAAGTCAAGTCAAGTCAAGTCAAGTCAAGTCAAGTCAAGTCAAGTCAAGTCAAGTCAAGTCAAGTCAAGTCAAGTCAAGTCAAGTCAAGTCAAGTCAAGTCAAGTCAAGTCTGTTCATGTCAAGTCTGTTCATGTCAAGTCTGTTCATGCCAAGTCTGTTCATGCCAAGTCTGTTCAAGTCAAGTCAAGTCAAGTCAAGTCAAGTCAAGTCCAGTCTGTGTCTCGGATTATTGTTTGGATCACTCTGTAAATAAACTGCACTTGGGTTCTCACTACGCTCGCCTTCAGTGGATTGACTCTTTACAGTAGCCTATGTATCGCACTCATATCACATCTAGTTTTGGATAAGAATAAAACGTCAGGTCCGACAATATCGTCTTATTTTATTTAAATCTAGCTTTATTCGCATTGGCCCATGCAAACCTCTATGAACACACTTGACTTGGCTAAAAAATCGCGGAGGGCGAATTTACGTTTTATTAAAAAGTGTTTACGCATTTTATTACTGAATTAAAATAAAATTAATATGTGAATTTTACAGCATTTTCTTGACTCAATAAACACACACACACACACACACATATATATATATATATCACTATGGTTCTATGAACTTGAGGAGCGGAGTGTCTTTGTCTAGCATTTATCGTCAGTCACAGCAAGTGCTAATTAGTCTTAAAAAGACTGTGCTAGCACTTCGTCTTTACAATATGACATTTTGGCCAAAAGACAGAAAAAACTGAGGGGCATCTTCTAGTTGTGTCACTTCACTGCCATTCACCAAAGTGTCCATCGGTTGTGCACCTTACAATCTCGCCATCCCGTTATCTGTGTACTTTTCACCGCCTTTTTTGTGAATACCGGGAATTTGCACATACTGTTTTTCGTGTACCATATTATAGGGGAGTAAACGATTTTGGATGCAGCCCATCATTTGTTCCTAAGTGAATTTATTTTGTTGAACAAATCATTTAAATATGATTCAGTGACTCATTTATTAAAACTTGTCACTTGTTTCATTCCTAAGTGAATCAGTGTTGTGAAACAAATCATCTGAATGAATGATACAGTGACTTAATCATTAAGACAGTCACTTGTCGCCACCTACTGGTGTAGCTATGTAACCTGCAGAAAGAGTCACTAAAAACTAACGCATAGACTGACAGTCTGTCTGGAAAGTACACAGACAAGTGGAGTGCTGTTGGATATATTATACATAATATCACCATCAAAGGTCTACTGAAGATTCAACATTCACCCTGACATTCTGTAATTCTAATTTTGCAGATTGGTAACATGCTAAAATTTACTTCTGTTATAAATATTTTTTTTTGCTTGAGCCTGATAAAAAAAAATTTCTAGCATTTTTTCAGTTGCTGTCTTACGAGGATGAAACAAAAATGTCCTCTGTAAAAAGGTTCAAACTCAGTGGCTGTGTGAGCAGAGAGTTTCTTTGAACCGCGGACAGGCAGAGACGATTGTGAATGGGTCAGAGTGAATTGGCCTCCTGTTGATGCCCAGAGACGTCTCTTTAGCCTCTCTACAGGAGAAGAAAGCCAGACTGCCACTTGGCACACAGCTAATACTGCCTGCTGCTATTTGCAAGACCTTGCGTGAATGTAAGAAAGCTGAGGTAGAGGGGGACTAATTTGACAAAGTGAAAGCAAATCATCTTAGAGAGTGAAAGGAGCAAGTAAGAGAAGAATGTGTGTGTGTCCATGTGTTTTCATGCTATTGACGGGCCGGCCAGCAGGGGGCTACATTGGGAATTCCCAAAGCATGTTGAAACACATCCCCTCCTTTTTCCAGTCTCTTTAACCTCAGTTCTGTTCACCAAAGATCTTCTCTTTTTTATGGTCTTTTCTCATTCATTCGGTCCAATTCTCACTGACCCTTCCTTTGTTAGTAAAGTCACACTGCCAACTTGGGTTATGTAAATGTAAAGTCTTGAATCCTAGTAGGCTTGATCATTACTTCAAGCTTGATGGCTTCAATTTAGCCTGATCAAATTAAAAGAAATATGTTCCTAAATCTAAACCTCACTGTCCAACATGGACATTTTAACTCCAACTAAACTTGTACACAGACCATCAACCAGCTCCTTCAATGTCCATAACAGAATTCACATACCACAAACCTTTTGGCAGCAATACATGTGTCATAAATTGTGTTTATAGATGGACATTATTTTGCAATCTCCTCTTAATAAAATCTAAAGTGAAATGCATGGGGTTTAAAAGAACATCACACTGGAGAAACGTAAGACATTCAGTAGACATGTAACCCAAATCTGGCTTTGTGAGGACATACTTTTGCATGATTCTGTTAATAAGCCATAAGTGAGCTGAAACCAAATTTAAAAGAAAAGATTGTAGCAGAATATTACACTCACACTACTATGACATTTGGCTATTAGAGATGTGGTTAGTCATTAAAGAGGAGCCCAGTGAGAAGTTTATTCAGTCTATATTTGTAATTGTGTCCACTGCCTGCTTATGAAACATCATGCCTTAATTATTGTTATTGGACCTGTGATTCATCATGACTGTGAAATAATGCAAGTGTTCTTTCTGATGAAAATAACACACACAAACACATTTGTATCACTATATTAGTGAATCCATCCATCCATCCATCTATCGCTCTCTTTCTCTTCTAATGTTTCTTGCCTTTTTTTTGTCAAAATACATGTATAGATTAGCCCGCTAGCTAGCCAGACCCTGAGCCTTTGTGATAAACGACAAATAAAAAAAGCAGCCCACAATTTTTTAGCCAATCACAAATGCTCTCTGTGAATTATACTTTTATACATTTAGATTTACTGACATTATACTAACAAAATGGCTTACATTTCTTTGTGCACCTGTAACATTTTGAATTTATTATTTATAAGTTATTATTTATTCAAAACAAGAAATTATTTTATTTTATTCTATCCTTAGCATTCCTCAACACTCAGTGCAGCTTTAAATGCTAGTAACTCATAAATATTAAGCTGTGCTATCATATGTTGGAAGGCACCACTAGACCATGGCTGACAGAGTTCAGCAATGTATTATAACTAAGTATGACCTGTGGGACTGCTAGAAAATAACCTTCACTTTGATTCCAACCTGTCAAGCTAAAACTAAAAAGCGAGGGCCTGCCAACAGTTCATTCAGAACTGGGAAGACTATTCTGTGGCGAATAACTGTCTTTCACCTCTCTTAATCTCAACCTCCAGAATGGCTCCCTCAGCAGCCCGCTCTGGGCTGAGATGGGCCCTGCCTCCTGGTGTGATCAAAGACTAGCTTTATCCTCTAGAGGGGTGTAGGTTACAGTGCCATTCACTTTATGGGTGGTCAAAGGGTCAGATGTACATGTAACCACATAGGAGATAAATCCTTAAGAGTAGCAAGCCCAGGGTCAACAGATAGGCTGTGATGTATGAGGCGACTAGGGACGATATCACATCTTCTTCTCTCACGGACCACCAAGACTCAGACACTCAGTTCATTGGCGACTTATTTAAACTGTGCATGTGGTGCCTTGAAATCAGAGCTCAGTGATACAAAGCAATGAGAAACTCTTGGCTTTTGGAGATCTGTGTAAAGAAAGACACAATTAGTCATTGTGAAATAGATAGAATATGTATATCAAGATTATATATGACGTATACAATTCTAAATCATATATCTTATATTTTGATTCTGATTGGACACATTTTTCAAGGCTATGAAGTAGTTCCAGGCTTGTTGAAGTAACTTGAAGTAATTTGTCATGTTCTTACTGAATTGTTTTAAAAGAGTACTGGTGGTGTGCGACTTTTTAAGGGAAATCTGTAAGTTCTACACACCTGAAAAAATGATTTGAGAGTGATATAAATTGGTGATTTTACGGTGGATTTCTGGATTATTGAAAATTAATGCAAATCTGAGGTGTACCTGCCATTCCTCTTAACATCACATTACTTCATCATGTGCATTAATTGACAATAATTCAATGATATGTCGTGAATAGGGCACAGCAGTTGGGTTGCGTGGTAAAATCCCATTTGTTTTTACCTTATAAACTTGGCACTTATAAACCTTTAAAGACAGCCCTTCTGTGAGCTCCAAGGTTGTTAAACAATTATGTAAAAATCATAATACTTGTACTTCTAACAAAATGTTTGTATATATCTGAATATTTTGTGATAAACTTAAACTATAGGCCTATTGTTTCAATATGTACAATCACCAACTTTGACAACAAGTCAATAGCTGTATAATTTTCTAATTTTTTTCATTTGATTACATAATTCATAATGTGTCATCATGAGACTGTAGTTCATTCCCTCATTAAAGACAAGTGTTGTATCTTTGTCTTTTTGTTTAATTTTCAGATCCTTTTTGGCTTCAAATATAAATTAGTCATGTTGTCATTCACATGAGATCTGGTTGCTTTTGTTCATAGTTTAGAACTCTTTAACAATTTTTGTTCCCGATTCTTTAAACCCCTATGGAAAAATGTATGGATGAAGTGTTTCAAGATCCACTGTGACTTAAAAAAAGAGGGTGTTCTATTATTCTTTACCTAAATGCTTTTTTTATTTTTTAGAAATGCTATTGAGATCTTACTAGGATATTTTTATGAAGAGACCAAGAGGTGATTGTTTGTTGCATTACTTTCTCAAATCTCACCAGGCTGTAAAACAAATGATGTACAACAATAAATAAACAGTAATGTTTAAAGGCGTGACTACAGGAACAAATTAAACTAGAGCATGTAGATAAGCTCAGTAGGTCTGTCACGTGTATTTGATAAATCAGAGTGTCAGGCCTTTAAAAAGGAATGGGCAGACTGCCAGGTGCCTCGTCTCCCACAAATTATCTTCATTTACCTAAAGCCTGCAGGGTAAAGCCCACCTGTAGTGATACCTTACACAGATACTTTCTTTTTTTTGTGAACTGGAAGAGAACATATAGAGCCGCGTATTTTGGTATCAAACAGTAGTAAATGTTTTTATTGTTCTGTTGAAATCAAAACTGGCTCTATTCTTTAATGTTTGTCTGGTCTTATTAAGAATGATTCATCTGTGCATGCTATAATGTCTGAAGAAAAAATGGATGTCTTCGTAATTTTTAAAAGTAAACTTGCTCTTCCTCTGAAATGACTTTCCTTTTCTGGTGACATCACTGAGGCCATGCAGGCTTTTGGATAATGTAACATTGCTATTTGTTCATTATATTTGTCAAAATCACATTCTACCTGGCTCCATTCTGTTCTAATCAATTATCAGTGGTTAAATTAAGTCCCATCCTACATATTTTCTTGCTTACTTTCTTCTTTGCTCTTCACTAACCTGTACAAGGTAAATAAAACATTTTTGTGCTGTACAGGATGTATTCAAAAAGTCCATCATGGAAATGAGACACAATGGTTTTATGGGTCAGCACTGATGGCTTTTAAGAGGGAATGGAGGAGGGGGCTTTATCTCGGATTAAGCAGTCATTAGCTACAGTCTTATCAGATGTGGAGGCATTGCTTAATACATATCTGAGTCTTTTCACACAGACTTACACATACTGTATGCGTGCAGGCCAATACACTCTAGAAACACAAAGACTAACCTTACCAAAAAGTAGTATACTTCAAGTTTATTTTAGTAAGTATACTTAAGTAAAGTTCAAGTGTATACACATATCAGTGTACTAGTAGTATACTTGTAAGTGTACTATTTCAATACTCCTTGGGACTAAATTGGCCCACTTTCTAGTATATAAAAGTATACTTTTAAGTATACTTTAAGTATAACAGTACTAAACACAATTTTTAGCTTGCACTGCAACTATACTAAAAGTGAACTTATAGGTATACTGATAGTTTACTGATTAAATAGTTGTAGTAGCATTTTTTTAGTACACTGAAGTATAGTGTCAGTAAACTACTAGTTTAGTAGTTTTATCCTGCAAGTATACTCGTAAGTTTTCTTTAAAGGGATAGTTCACCCAAAAATGAAAATTTGAAGTTTATCTGCTTACCCCCAGGGCATCCATGATGTAGTTGACTTTGTTTCTTCAGTATAACACATATGATGATTTTTAACTCCAGCCGTTGCAGTCTATCAGTCATATAATGCATGGCAATAGTAACTAAATCTATGAGAGTAAAAAAAACATGCACAGACAAATCCAAATTAAACCCTGCGGCTCGTGACGATACATTGATGTCCTAAGACACGAAACGATCGCTCTGGCGTACTTACTTGCGCTTATCCAGATTGTTCAAACTGACTTAAAACTAAAAGTTACTTTCTAAACTAAAATTACTTTCTCTCACGCAAACTCATTCGGGAGTGGTGACTTTCCACGTATTCCCAACTTCTGAGCCTGCTCGCCTGAAGTTATGGTTGATTGCTCTTCGGCCTATTTCAATACTCCTTGGGACTAAATTGGCCCACTTTCTAGTATATAAAAGTATACTTTTAAGTATACTTTAAGTATAACAGTACTAAACACAATTTTTAGCTTGCACTGCAACTATACTAAAAGTGAACTTATAGGTATACTGATAGTTTACTGATTAAATAGTTGTAGTAGCATTTTTTTAGTACACTGAAGTATAGTGTCAGTAAACTACTAGTTTAGTAGTTTTATCCTGCAAGTATACTCGTAAGTTTTCTTTAAAGGGATAGTTCACCCAAAAATGAAAATTTGATGTTTATCTACTTACCCCCAGGGCATCCAAGATGTAGGTGACTTTGTTTCTTCAGTAGAACACATATGATGATTTTTAACTCCAGCCGTTGCAGTCTATCAGTCTTATAATGCATGGCAATAGTAACAAAATCTATGAGAGTAAAAAAAACATGCACAGACAAATCCAAATTAAACCCTGCGGCTCGTGACGACATATTGATGTCCTAAGACACGAAACGATCGCTCTGGCGTACTTACTTGCGCTTGTTCAAACTGACTTAAAACTAAAAGTTACTTTCTAAACTAAATCATTTTAAGTATAGTTCTGAGAAGTACATAAAAAGTAGACTAAAAGTATACTTTCCTATTTTTAGTTTAAAAGAAGTATACTAATAGCACACTTGAATAAAGCTATTTTTCATAAGGGTAGGCAAATAGATCTTACAAAAGAGAGCTACACATAAACAAACCACTCTCCCACATATTTGTATTTATATAAATGTATTTAGATGAGCATTTGACCCTTGTCTTGAGTCATGTCATGTTGATGGTATTGGAGTTATTTATTTTTATTCTCCTGAACTTCAAGAAGTTTCGCTGACAACGTCAAGCTGTTTTTCTTAAACTGGGCTGCTTCTCAGTGCTAACATTATGAAATGTGCTTGATCATTTACAGAGTGCTGACACTGTTTTGAAGTCTATATTCTCAGGCCAGGTACACAATAGCAGGGAATAGTAAACAGACAGTAAACACCATTAAACAGACAGTAAACAGCCACATCAGCACCAATTTAACCATTGTTGGACCCATACACACATGTGTATGAGCTGAAGTCAAGAGGTCAGACTTGAAAGGCAGTTGTTTCCTCATTATTTTCTTATTTGTCACACAGTCAAATAAATAGTGGGTGCAACCACCAACTCAAGGTGTATATATTCATGTCATGGTTTAGAATTTATGACCTCTCCAGTCAACACCCTTGTCTGGATACCATATTTATTTCCAAAGGTACAGCCCACATAAACTCTATTATGGATACATTTTGTTGAGTAGAATGGAAATTGGTCCTTACAAGTAGGTTGTGTGTGTATCTTTATATAATCAAAGGTGTTTAATTCTACAATTTGTATGATTTATAAGTTTGTCCTCCTCAGCAAAATGAATGAGAGTTTACAAACCTGATGTTATCAAATACATGTAGATGAGCTGGGCTGTGTATTTCTGCATAAATAAATTGAAACCTGCAGATCATCATTATTTGGAGATGTGCTTCGACTGACTATCAGACATTATGGTTCCAGTATTGCACTCTGTTCTTTAAACCCAGTACGGGGTAAATTAGGAGCAGATATGGGCAACCCTGACCTGGCATAGTTCTCCCCGGCTGGAGCCACTGCTGGAAAAGCCATTTCTCCACAACATGCAAACAAATATAAAACAAATGGTGTACAGCCATGTAAAGAGAGAGGGAACAAATGTTAGGAAATATGAGGTCAGATGCTGAGTTATGACCTCACTACCTATTGCATTACGTTAAATTGCAAAAGTTGCTTTAAACGATCATATGTGCCAATCTTTTGCAAGAAGCAAATCTGAATTGATGAAGATGCACGTTTAAGAGTCATTTCATTTACTCCAGAAGTTTGTATTGGCAAGTATTATATCTGCCCCCCCCCCCCCAGGCTTTAACTACTCATTGGTTGGTTGAGTGCATAGTCTGACTGATTTTTGGACTGACATCTATGAGTGAACCTTTTGACACTCCATTTAACATACCGTGTACATAAACCCATATGGTATGGTGTTGCATGTTCAGCTATCTGTGCCTACTCCATTCAGTGGAGTTTGGGCACAGTTTAAAAACCAGAGAAAGACGTATTGGCACAGAAACCTAGGTAAATAACAACACTGTAGTCAAAGCAAAACCATCTTCCTTTGGAGTTTGATACATTTGGCTTTGACAAGCTGAGCCCCCAGCCAACATTTACTAAAACATCTGACAACACTCTTTCTGAGGACTTTTCAAAATTAGGCAAGAAAATAATGGATTGTAAAGCACAGTTAAACTCACTGGATGATTCCTTTCACATGTAGACTTTCTTTGAGCTACTTGTCATATGTTTGATATTGTGTAGAACATGGCAATCTTGGCTGGCTCTGTTCAGAAACCGTTGCAAAAAACAAACAAAATAAATATCAAACTACTTTTAAGCCACCTCTCGTGATGTCTTGAATTTATCTTTTATTCTTTGGCTGAACCTTGACTTTAACTTTTATGTGATTCATAAACATTTTAGTATAAAAATCAGGTAGTTTTATGAGCTCCTTTAATAAACCGGTGAACAGGGTAAACAATCAAACAAATGAGAGTGTTCAAATTCACCTAAATGTAGACCGAGCTCTCGTCTTAAGACTTTGGAATCAGTGTGTACTAACAGCTGTCCTGTGTTTGGTTATCATATGGCTGGGAACCAAGAACCAGTTCATATTCAGATCTGGTTAAATCTCTTAAAAATATGGGAAATCAATGATTTTCTCACTGTGCACACTCATTCTTACTAAAACTGTGCTATAATATTTTGACTATTCAGTGTTGCCGCAATATTAAACCCACAGATTGAAATTTACAGCATCATCAATCAGTGCAGACCGATGGCGCAAAAAATGAGCCAGCTAGTGAATGCTTTGAATGAAGTGCAATTTCCCAACAAATGACTCATATCAGTTGGATCTTTTTAAAGAACAATCAAAAACATAGTGTAATCAGTGTAATCCGATTCCTGAACAAACAGCTCTTGTAAGTTCTTTTTAGTTAATGCAAAACATACAAATGCATTCAATTGAACCCTGATTCTGAATAACAAATGTCTCTTGTGAGCTTCATTGAATACACTCTGTGACTAGTCCGATTCCCAAAACATAACTCTAATCAGCTGATTTTTTGATAATGATGCATATGATGCAATTTCAAGTTTTCCTTTCTCTTTGGAGTGTTACAAACACATTCACTGAATCAAAAAAAATAATTATGTAATGCTCTGGATTGCTTAAGACTTGGGACTTAAACTAGTTATTTTTTAGGTAACACTTTATTTCGATAGTCCACTTTAGACATTCTATTAACAGTAATTAACTTTGCAACTGCATGTCAACTAGCAGTTAGTAGAGTAGTAGTAGACTGTCTGCTTAATATCTTCTAACACTTTCTTTGTCAACTTATTCTACTAACCCTAAACCTACCCTAACAGTCTACTCTGAGAGTTAGTAGACATGTAGTTGCAAAGTTACTTACTGTTAGTAGAATGTCTAAAGTGGACTATCCAAATAAAGTGTAACCATTTTTTTATATTTATTTATGCATGTACTGTATGTATGCATTTATTTATTTATTTTTGAATGGTGCCTATAAAGGGCAATTCAAAGTCTGTGTAAACACAGAATTGAAGCAAACTGGATTTATTTCTGATTTATATCTGTTCTGTTGAAACCAAATTATCTCATAATTTGGCATATTAAGATTTTCTTTCTAAAATATTTCTCCTTAAATTTTGCCTATAATAAGACTTTATAGGTAACAACCAGAATCAGGCTGTCAGGAGATCTTGTTTGTACATGTTGAAAAACACTGAATAGATGCAGTCGACGAGCAGTCGCAAGTTAGATCAAGAACACCCAATATAATCACTTAAACAAACTGCAGTACAGTGTAGACTAAGCGTTAAAAATCAGCTGAGGGCTTGCAGAACAGATATTCATGACAGCAGAGTTTTAGGAACAAGACCTGACGTGAAAGCGCTTCATTATACATAGCGTACAGTATCATAAATCATCCGGCAGCCCATTCACAACTCTTCAGTTTCACATTGAACACAAAAACCTCTTTCGACAGCGTGTGTTTACTTGCTCGGACCGTTCATTTAGAGGGAGTGTTACGAACATGCATCCCATTTCAATGAACTCCGTGATCTGTTTATGGACGGTAAGAACGAAGTATACTAATAGCACACTTGAATAAACTTATTTTTCGTAAGGTAGGTTTGAATAAATTGTGGCTACATGGAATATAAGTTAATTTATTCGTAATTTCCACAGCTTGCACACTCTACACTGAAATGTTTATAAAGCTCATGCAGAAACATGAGACAGTACAGAAAGTTTGCATAGAGACACATGTGTTTATTGATAGAGCAATATAAAATAAAGTGTAAACAATGATTTACAGATTTAGAGTCAGGAGGTAATTTCTTTAGAATTTTTTTTATTTAATTTTTAATTAGTTAATTAATTTTATGTAATGGAGGAGTTAAACAAGATAGGGAAAGGAAGTATGCCAACAAGTGTTGACAAGTCCCCATGAAATGGTTTGACAGTGCCGTTTTCTTTCCTGCATTGGACAAAAAACTTTGTAGTGCAGAGTGAATCATCAATATTTTGAAGAGAACAGAAAGACTGTAAAGTTTAAAAAAAGATACCTGGTAAAATTGCCAGGTTTTATTCAATGGAATAAAAGACACAACACTCTTGATTTACCTGCCAACTGTTTTAATTCACGTAAGACCGAAAACCATGGCTGACATTACATTATTAAGTTATATTAGTAAGACTATTTCATTAATTAACTGGTGATGGATTGGTATTGAGATTGGTATTTATACTTTGTTGGTTCCCCTCACAGATTATGATTTTGCCATACCAGTGGAAGTGGACTCACTTGGAGGCTACATTTCCCACGATGTGTCAAGACATGGAAGGAGCAGGAGATCCCTGTCAGAAGCTGGTGATCCAGTGCACTATCATGTCTCTGCATTTGGCAAGGAATTGCACTTAGACCTGCAGCCATCCCATGTGCTGGCAGAGGGGTTTACTGTACAGACACTGGGTGCAGAAGGCATCAATACAGCCACGCTTGAGCCTTCTATTCATAACTGTCTCTATCAGGGTTCCATCCGAAACCATTCTGAATCCTCTGTGGCTATATCCACCTGCACAGGTCTGGTAAGTGGCTCCTTTTACACTCACTCAAAGATTCACTGACTCCAAAATGAGCTACATCAATGTCTACTACACTTAGGCAATTGCTTTTTAAGGAGACATCCTAACTGAAATGGAGCCTCATAAGTGAATGATTTTAAATGCTCTACTAGACATCAAATTCTGTGCATCATATAAAAGCATTTCACTCAACAAATGTTTTGGAAGTTTGTAATTATTTTCAGTATTGTATTAATTTTAGCAAATGGCTGCAATATAACAAAGAGTGAAAAATTTAAGGGGGTCTGAATACTTTCCGTACCCACTGTATATCTTAAAGTCTACCTTTCGTCTGCTACATCCACCATCTTGGATGCTTCTTGCAAAGCATTCTAGGATTGCCTTGTGATGTTGCCTTTGAATTTGACCAAAACATATCTTAAGAGGCAGCATAATTAAGTTGTTAACATTTATGAGTTTATGAGATCATCTATGAGTTTTATGTAAATTACATGAAAAATTGAGTTTTAGATAGCGGTTTACAGAATAATTAATTAAATGAGGTTTCAGGAGCTTGGCTGGCAGCGCTAATCTTTGCATTGTCCTTTTCATTAGTGGTAGCTTCTCCACAATAAAACATCAGTGACCCGTTCTTTTAAAACTGTGTGACAACACAATGTGATTTAGGAGCAATTGCATCTGAATAGACTGCAGGGACTCTTTGATCTACTCCCCTTCTTTTGATGCTCAAAGCTTTTTTTGAACGATGGGCCAAGCTCTATGTGATTCTCTCTATGGTCTTAAAGGTGCCCCAATTTCAGATATACAGGATGCCAAACAAGACCTGTGTGTCCTTTAAGATTTTGTGCTTAAACGTACAGAAGCAAAAGGAAATGTCCAAGAAAAAAGGGGTCTCTCATTCTGCTTCTTTCACTCTCCCTTTCTTTGATGGAGTGAAAAAGAATGAGTCACCAAGGACTTTAACCCTTCCATGTCATCTCCGCTTGATGAGGAGCTTTGGATTAAGTACAAATGAGAACCCATTCATCCCTCTGCTGATCCGCAGCAACCCCTTGTGCCGTGAAAGGCAGAGGAGGCAGTTGCTTAGAGAGAGAGAGGTTTTGTGCTGCGAGAATGCAAGTCCAAAAGTAAAATCAATGTGGATGAGAACCCCCACAGTCAGTAGATTCAGATGTAATGCCATCCATTATGTTGATGTTGATGAAAGTCTGATTTGCTTGTACTGGTACTCTTGCTCTCTGTTAAACAGTGCATAACATAGCAGATGGACAGGGATTCAGTTGTTAAATGAAAAACAGGCGGTCCCGGACTTTAAATCGGGAACAGGGGATTTACTCGCTAAATCCTGCTTCTTTTAAAGTTTTTAATTACTGAGCGCCCTTCATTTGCTGCTATCACTTGCCTCGAATGGACTGTCTGGCCCCAGATTTAGCAGCATGATCAAACGTCTTCCATCCAACCCTAAAACAAAACACATAATCGTAGTAATGAAATGCAAGTTGATTTATGGATTAGTTTCGTCATGTGTGCTGTTTCGAGGTTTGGTTCAAAATCTTCTAAATGGGCTGCATCCAGGATGGCATATGAATGCCAGTCCCAAAGCTGCTTCAGTTTGTAAAAGCAGATTAGCAGGTGAAGCTTCTGAAACAGTGCTCTGCTACTTCTTGTTCAGAGGTCAGAACTTCCTCCGGCTCAAGTTGCGGGGTCGCATGGTTTTGCAAGTTCAGAGTTGCTTTTCCAGCCTAGGCATAGACAAATCCACATCCTCGGACCTTCTCTGGGTCATGGTTCCATAAGGCTGGTGACAGGCTCAAGCCCATTCCCCTTTGAAATGGCAAATCTTGCTTTCTAGACGTGTTTTGACTGGCTGAGCCACCATGCCGTCCAGAATTGGCTCTAGTACTACAATGAAAGGCTTAGAGATTTTTCATAATACTGTTCAACATGGATTATTGATGTATGATCTATTCTGGCAGTGTTGCTGTATTTAGCTGTTATGATTCGTTCGACACATGGGCACTCATTCATTAACTTTAACACATTGACTTCCCTGTCAGCTGACAGTAGACTTGACGTTCCTTATCAGTTCATGTTAACTGATGCCATTGTTTTATAACAATTAGCATGTTATCACACTCCCCCACAGTCAGTAGATTCAGATGTAATGCCATCCATTATGTTGATGTTGATGAAAGTCTGATTTGCTTGTACTGGTACTCTTGCTCTCTGTTAAACAGTGCATAACATAGCAGATGGACAGGGATTCAGTTGTTAAATGAAAAACAGGCGGTCCCGGACTTTAAATCGGGAACAGGGGATTTACTCGCTAAATCCTGCTTCTTTTAAAGTTTTTAATTACTGAGCGCCCTTCATTTGCTGCTATCACTTGCCTCGAATGGACTGTCTGGCCCCAGATTTAGCAGCATGATCAAACGTCTTCCATCCAACCCTAAAACAAAACACATAATCGTAGTAATGAAATGCAAGTTGATTTATGGATTAGTTTCGTCATGTGTGCTGTTTCGAGGTTTGGTTCAAAATCTTCTAAATGGGCTGCATCCAGGATGGCATATGAATGCCAGTCCCAAAGCTGCTTCAGTTTGTAAAAGCAGATTAGCAGGTGAAGCTTCTGAAACAGTGCTCTGCTACTTCTTGTTCAGAGGTCAGAACTTCCTCCGGCTCAAGTTGCGGGGTCGCATGGTTTTGCAAGTTCAGAGTTGCTTTTCCAGCCTAGGCATAGACAAATCCACATCCTCGGACCTCTCTCATAAGGCTGGTGACAGGCTCAAGCCCATTCCCCTTTGAAATGGCAAATCTTGCTTTCTAGACGTGTTTTGACTGGCTGAGCCACCATGCCGTCCAGAATTGGCTCTAGTACTACAATGAAAGGCTTAGAGATTTTTCATAATACTGTTCAACATGGATTATTGATGTATGATCTATTCTGGCAGTGTTGCTGTATTTAGCTGTTATGATTCGTTCGACACATGGGCACTCATTCATTAACTTTAACACATTGACTTCCCTGTCAGCTGACAGTAGACTTGACGTTCCTTATCAGTTCATGTTAACTGATGCCATTGTTTTATAACAATTAGCATGTTATCACACTTTGCTGGGTAGGATAACAATAGATTGACTAAATAGCCTTAGCTTTGAAATGTTGACATTGTGAATCAATTAATTATCTCAGTCAACATACATGGCTGGAAAACTTCCCACTCCCTTTTTCATGTCCAATTTTTTGCTGATATTTTTCTGGCTGTTTGGTGTTCTGAATTAAGGAAATTAAACTGTTCTGTGTACACTACCAAAGCATTTGAATGGTGATATTTGGAACTTTCTATTCATCAAAAAATCCTGAAAAATGTGTCATGGCTTCCACAAAAATATTAAGCAATCAGCACAACTGTTTTCAACATTAATAATAATAATACATGCTTCTTAATAGGGATGTAACGATTAACCACGAGCCGGTTGAAAATCGATTAAAATATATAACGATTCAAATCGGTTGAGATGCTAAACAAATCGCGATTCATTTAGGTGTAGGGGAACTTACTGTCTTTAGAAAAGTTTAGATGGTATTTTTTCTTTTCATCTTGCCTCTGTATAATGCATATTAAAGTTCATAAGTGCAGCGCTGCTTTGTTTATTCCAGAAACCAAGGAAACACTTTATGCACTACCTGCTGGCAGAGAGTGAATCTGCGTTTCATTCAGCTCGTCTGCTGTTCCTAGATGGTATTTTTTCTTTTCATCTTGCCTCTGTATAATGCATATTAAAGTTCATAAGTGCAGCGCTGCTTTGTTTATTCCAGAAACCAAGGAAACACTTTATGCGCTACCTGCTGGCAGAGAGTGAGTCTGCGTTTCATTCAGCTCGTCTGCTGTTCAAATGGGGCGGGCTTCATTAAGTCTTTTTGGATGGCAAAGTGTTCTTTTATCTTTTATGGACAGCCCGGCCCATAGTCCAGCCTTGTGGGTGCTAGACTGTCTGTGAATGTGTGAGGTGTGTATGTGTGTGAACTGCTGCTGAAGCTCTTCAACTGTGTTTATTTAGTGCCAGACCTGCTGGTTCAAGCTGATGCGCTAACGTGTGGGATTGCACTTACGGACAGTTGTGATGCTAATTCACTCTGACTGCAAAGGAGGAAAACTGTCAGCTCAAAGCTTGTGTGGATACACTGCAGTAGAACACCGGGCCATTCAAACATCAATGGAAGAGAGAGACTGGGAATTACCATATACAGACTCCGAGAGCACATCTGTAGTGCTTGTCTGACTCAGGAAATTGTGAGAAAATGCTTTGGGGTTTCCATCAGACATGTTTGTTGCCATGATTTGTACTTAGAGGTTCTGTTGAAATGGTCACTGTTGGGGGCCTCCCAGTTTGAAACCCCCTTCCTGGTATCATAAATTAAGCATAGATGCATGGGGGCGTTGGGTAGTGCCATTATAATTATATATGACAATACTGTGATCCTTTTGATCATGATTTTGCATAAATACTTAAGATCCTTGTGTCATTTTCTAAAAATGTGTATATTCATATAATTTCATACTTGCAGTGTGTATAGTTTGTACATCCAACAGTACTGATAATGTTGGAGTTGAATTTCTTATGGCTTTAAAACATGAACAGGAATAATTTAATATTTAAATATGTTGTTTTTATACTATTACGTTTACTGTTTTTCTCACACTGTATAAAAGTGTGGTCATATTAGTGAAATTTTGTCAGCAAAAAAAAGGTAACATTTCTATTGTCAATACTAGTGTAGTGATGCACAAAGCACAGCTCACACAAAAGTCACTTTCAAACCAAGCAGATTTCTGTTGGTCCAAGCGTGACCAACTTCAAATCGCTGCAAAGTCTGCCCTCTTGTGAAATTCCTGATCACATGGATTTATATTGAAATATATAAATGCATTTGCTGAACAACGATAAATGTGACCACATCTTAACTTGGGCTTAAAATATGTGGCTGCCTTTTAGGAATC